AGTGAACATCCTACTCCCCAGGGCTTCGGTGAACATCCTACCCCCCCCCCTGGGGTGAACATCTACCTCCCCACCCCCAGGTGAAATCCTACTCCCCCACGCCATGCTGAACATCCTACCTCCCCCCCCCCCGCGTGGTAACATCCTACCTCCCCACCCCCGGTCGTTGAACATCCTACCTTCCCCAGCCCCCGTCCCTCTCTCTGTGAACTCTACCTCCCCCACCCGTGCTCTTTGCTGCGAGTAAACATCCCTACCTCCCCACCCGCGCTGTGAACATCCTACCTCCCCCCCCTCCCCCCCGCCGGTGAAACAATCCTACCTCCCCCCCCCCGTGTGAACCATTCCCCCCCCCCGGCGTGAACATCCTACCTTCCCCCACCCCCCAGGTGAACATCCTACCCCCCACCCCCCCGGGTGAACATCCTACCTCCCCCCACCCCCCCGGGTGAACATCCTACCTCCCCCAGCAGCTCAGCGTGGACCTTCGACACGCCATAGATGGTCTTGGGACGCTGTATGCACACGTCCGGCGTTAGCTCGAGCGGTGACTCCGGCCCGAACGCGCCGATCGTGCTCGGCACGAAGATGCGCAGGTGGTACTGCTTCGCCAGCTCCATCACGTTGTGCAGACCTGCGGGGGCGACACGCGTTCACTTGTTTATTATCGTTTTATTTTTAACTTTTTTGGTTTTTGTCGCGGAGTCGCGCAAGATCGCCGGCCCGTTGTCAGAAACAAAAATTACAAAATTAATCTGAATTAAGTTTCAAGAATCTGACTTTTTTTATTACTTTTTGCTTTTTTTGGCCGTGGGTGTCGGCAGCCCCAGACGTGTGGAGCGCGAATTGTCGAAGGTGGTATTTCCTGTTAATTTCTATCAAAACCTTCGTAAACGAGCTCTAGATGGCAGCACATACCTTCAATATTGACTCGTATTGCCAAAGGCACATTTTGTTCACCGACTGCACTCAGAAGTGCGCTGAAGTGAACGATCCAGTCAATACGATGATTCACAACCAACTCTTGAAGGTTCTTAAAATCCAAAACGTCCGTGTAAATGTAAGGACCTACAAGATAAAAACACGCAAATCATGAGAGCAATTTATCTTTACGTGGTTGCATAATCTTTGTATTGCCAAGCGCAAAATCATT